AAATACAGGCATATTAGATGGAGAGACAAATTCCCTCTCTTTAATATAATTAAAGACTGCTTTAACATAACAGCCTTTTTTGTGAGGGCAGAAATTATGACGCCAGTTTCATGTCGATGCTGCATTGGTTCTAACGTTTTCGATGGTCTCAGATTTCATCAAATAGTTCTCATGGCAACCAGAAAGAGTCTCCGGTTTATATAAACACAAACAAAGGAACTTTGTCCTTCAAGCCTTATTTAATCATGGAGAGAGCATGAGTGAGGATGAGGGATAACTGTTGAGTTGATTGCAATACTAGCCCAAAATAAACAGTGGTCACTTGCACAGGATGTCTGTTCTAAAGGAGTACACAGGCTAAGCAGTCAAAAAAGAAAAAAGTGCCTTTTACATTTCTAATACATTGACACATTTCAATGTAGTGTCCTTTCAAAGACCTTCTTTCTGCTTTCTTCCAAAATGCATTAGCACACTCTCACACACTCTGTGTCAGCATAGTGTGACATTCCAAGGAACAGTCTGGAGGGAGGTTTAGGACAGAGACAGACTTGGCAGCTCGTCATCAAATTGCCATACTATCTCTCTCACTCTCTCACACATGTAGAGACACACACACACACACACACACACACACACACACACACACACACACACACACACACACACACACACACACACACACACACACACTAAAGGAAATCTGTCACCTCGGTCACAAATGTGAAATGTGTGAGAGACACTAGTTCCCACAGAATGTCCCACAAACTATAGATTGTTAGGATTCTATATCAAAATATATAGTCCTTTCTTAATTTTAAAACATTACACAGAGGGAATAACTAACAGCTGCAAGAACATTATTGTGGGACATTTTTAATTATCTTGGCCTGGGACTATTTTTTTGCATGCTTACCACATCATAAATTAGCCAACATATTGTGAAACATTAAAGCATTTTGTGGCCATATTTTTTCTCAAATAAGCTAGTACTGCTTGCTCGCTTACTTCTGTAGGTTGACAAAGAAAAGCATCCGCTTAGCATCGTTTGTACACGGATGCACTGAAGAGTAGAGCTTACAGCGGTTAAGTGTATATGTGTGTTTTTGACTGGGTAAGTGTTGGTGCTGCTGGGATAATTACAAGCCTCAGAAACAACCATGTCACACAACAGCTATTTCTATTGACAGCCAGCTATGCTACTACACACATGGCAGCGGTCTGGCCAGAGAGTAAAGCAATTGAAACTTGTGTTTTTTACATTACATGTTACTTGTATCCTAAGCGACTTACATACTCAATACTGTGGGCAATCCCCACAGGAGCAATTTGGGGTGAAGTGTCTCAGGGACACAACGACATGCTGACTGCAGTGGGGTTTGAACCTGTGACCCCCTTATCTGAACACCAAGGCTCTATCCACTGCGCCACACGCCTCCTTTTTGTGTTTGTGTGTGTCTCGCTGTGTGTGTGGGGTAGACAACTGGAGCTGCCAATAGAGCTATTTCTACCCAGGGGTCACTCGGTGCTAGACAGAGTAGATGATGTGTGTTAGCAGCCACTTCATCATGAGAGCAACAACTTTCCACAAACAGGGCAGATTGCCTGATATCCACTTTTAGCCAACTTCCTAACTCTTGACACTTCTTCTGATGGCATGTGAGCTAGTAATGGGTAATACCATCGAAAATCATTATCAGTATTAATAAGAACAATCTGTATCCTACGGAAGAGGATTAGGGCCACATAAAAAAATTTTTTGTGAGGATTTGAAAAAAATATTATTATTTTTTGTTCTGAGAAAAAAGTCAGAATTCTGACTTTTTTCTCAGAACAAAAAATAATAATATTTTTTTCAAATCCTCACAAATTTTTTTTGTATGTGGCCCTAATCCTCTTCCGTAGTATCCAATCGAAAATATGCTAAATAAAATTGAATATAAATCACAGAATTGACCTCGGGCAAACCTCTGTCATACACGTAAAACAGCTCAAATGTATACCTTAAGAAGTAGCAAACAACAGTATTCACTTGTCCAACAATACGCTTTAGTGCTGTGTATAACTGTATATTGGCCTTCTAGGTTAGACTGTGTATCATATACTTCCCCTGGAGTAGGCCATGACGTGCAAGTGATACAAAGCAGAAAACAAAGGGTCCCCCCCTGACACTATTCAAGCCTAAAAATCAGACTTTCACTCGCAATAGACATGCAAACATAAATACACTGTTTCCACGGCAACTGGCAGAAATGGCAGAGGCCCCATTGACTAGATAGCTGCTCTGAGATGGAGAAACATGCATGTCTCTTTTTTCCACCTGGTGGCATTGCTTAATTATTGAACTACTTAAACAAAAAAACGTTCTCATGATCATCATTCATGTTGCTGTTGTGTAACGGTTACAATTACAAGGCTCGGTCGCCTGGAATGTCTGCCTGTTTATGCTCATGGCATGGGAGGAGATCTTTTGCCATACCCATATATTGAGCAATGCCAATGCCTGCAGACACATCTCTGTCTCTGTCTTTCAGTGGAATTGTTGCATATGGAAAAGACGGTATTGCAACAATCTCACAAAATCTGACTTGAGTGTGTCCTAGAGTTTAATCTTTCCATCACACCCATAGCAGCATACCTGTGCGTGTAGTCAGGAGCAGATAGTGGTTCTCTTGTTTTGCCTCATATCAAATCTAGAAGTGTGGGTTGTGGAAATTGAATAATCAACTGAAATCAGACTCTTCTCTTGACAGCATTGGCTGCAATTCTACAGTAACTTTATTATGTAAAAAACGTTTGCCCCATTTAATCCTACGTTCTTTCCTTTGGCGGCCTTCTCGTGGTACTGTGGCATCCATCAGCCACACCCTTTTCAATAACAAGAAGTCAGAGTGAGGGCGAGAAGGACAGATGGATGGTGGATAGGATGACTAAACAAGTCAACGCAGGAATGAATGAGCATTATGGTGTTGTATAACAGGAAGGTCTTTTATGGCATGGAGTAGCCACACCCTCTGCAATAACAAGCATGCACAGTAAAAGAGAAACGGACTGATGAATGGAAAGAGGAAAAATGTTGAGGTTGTAATGGGCTCCATGGGACTGGCATTAAATTATGTTTTGGTGACGGGTACTAGAACGTTACATTTGCCATCCAGAATGGCTTCATTCACTGTCATGCTGTGGCTCTCCGTGTACAGTGTCTCTGAGCAGTCAAAGGCACAGAAAGCTAATTCAGGTCTTTTAGAAGAACAGGACAGATGCGGATTGTCTGTAAACCAGTTCTTAGACGAACTGTTTGTTCATAATTACATGGTGTCTGAGACTAAAAACTACAGATGCTGTTCCACTGGTTTAGTTGTGGAGTGCAGAGACAGATGAATTCAGTTCATTCTGGAAGACACATTCAGCTCAGTCGAACAGACCATAGCAGAGGATATTTAACACAATATATTTTATAGTCCCTAAGGTTTAGAGATTGACACCAAATATTCTGCGTTTACTGTATGTAACTTGTTTTAATTTCAGGATACATATAAGAACATTCTTAAGATTTCTTTACCCGGGATTCAGAGGAATTTAGACATCAGTCATTTCAAACATGCTCCACACCAGCTCAGCTCCAAAGATATCTCACACCAATGTTAGACGCTGAGGAATGTTTTTTTGTTCCAACATACATTTGCTTAGCCCTGTTCTCATTACCATTCAATAATACATTTATTTGGATTGTTCTGTAATTCATTCCTGCTTGAAGTATTTTTGTATACCACCTCAAACCCATTCAGTGAGTGTTTAAGCTAAATCAGCAGCATATCGAATTTGTTTTGTCCAGCCGCTGAGAGTAAAAGACAACTTTGTGTGTTGTAAATCTCTCTGTGCGAGTGAATGACAGCCCTGTGTGTGTCTCTGCATGCAGCAAGGACTGTGCTGACAGCAGAATGGCTCGCTCTGTTGGAGGGGATTCACACTTCACATCAGATCATCACAACCAATCTGTCTCTCTCACACACACACACACACACACACACACACACACACACACACACACACACACACACACAACCCCACACTCTGATCACTGGACAGAATGTTGCAAGATCTCCACACAGTTTCATACAAGACCTCTCTGCCACTACCTTCTCTTTCTCTCACACACACACACACACACACACACACACACACACACACACACACACACACACACACACACACACACACACACACACACACACACACACACACACAGTGGTGCTTCAACCCCACAGAGAAACCGACTAGTCACACTGAGCAGCAGGACAATAGTTCTGTCAATCAACGTCAAGTCTCTGCTTAGCTGCCGGAGAGCCTGAGGCCTTCCAGTAGACAGCTTGTTATCCTGTGAGCAGGACACTGACACTGGCCTGAAGCATGTAAAGGCTCCAGCTCCAACTCCTCATTACTTTTTGGACCTGAATACATGTGCCAGTCATAAGTCAGTGTTTTCCACTGAGCGAGTGGGCTCAGTGAGTGCTTGTTACAGATGTTTCCTTTAGAAAGTACAGGCACAAGTCTATAATGAAGTTAACTAACAAGATTAGCTGACTACTGTATACTGTACTCCAATATACTACATTGGTTTTCTGTACATTCAGTTCTTAGATGCACAGAAAACAAGAAGAAGAAATGATGGATTGTTGTCGTCGGTGTAGTTCAGTAGCATTTTTTCGCATATGAATGAATGCAGCACATTTTAAAATCCCTGTGTCTGTATTTCAGTGTTGTGCTATTTAGTTACCTATGTATTAGGAGATCCTGCTAAATGACGCAGCTGCAGTCCTGATGTAATGGAAATGTAACTCAACATGTTATTTGTGAATCAATTCAGACAATCAAACCCTAAAACAGACTTGGAAAGCTAAAGCACTGTGTAGTGGCTGTGCAGACGAGTTGTTGATATTAGCAATTACGTCATTAAAAGCCTATGTAAATAGTCATTCTTTGTCTTTCTTTATTTCTTTCAGGTGGAACCAAAGACATTGGATCAGCGCTGACCAGGATGTGTATGAGACATCGCAGCATAGAGGCCAAACTCAAACAGTTCTCCATGTAAGCAACACAGCACATGTATTGGTTTGCTTTTTTACCTGTACTTCTCCATATATGCCAAAATACAGGATGTAATATATCTCTTGTGCAATTCTGGTGAACGATTGGCTGGGTTGTAGGGTGGGAGCGGGAATTTAATTGAGGTAAGCATGTATATAAGCCCCATCACTGTGGTTTTATTGTGCTAAAAAGGCATTACACATAGTTCATACTGTATGTCCAATAAACCTCCCCTTCAAGTACTGCACATTTTCTTTTGCAGACCGAAATTCTCTGCAACAAGCTTTTAAAACTTTCAAAGATAAACATATGACTATTTCCTTTTGCAGTGTTTCCTATATAAATAACTCACTCATTCAGTTAGTGTACTTTGACCCAAACTGTTTCCCTCACTCAAATAAAATGGTCTGCATTCAAATCTCAGCATACCCTCCATTTCTAGGCATTTAGTGTGTGTGGGTGAGAATGCCCCTCGTCGGGGACTTTCTGGGAAAGAGACGATTTGTCTGGCAACACAAGTATCTCTAATGTTTCAGTGTTGCCACACACACACACACACACACACACACACACACACACACACACACACACACACACACACACACACACACACACACACACACACACACACACACACACACACACACACATACATATTGCACAGACAAGAGGCTCTCTAATTTCGGGTGGCATTTCAGTAGAGATTCCACTTGGATCTCCATAGCAGAGGCTGTACGCAGGGGGCTGTGGTTGCCCCCCACCCACTGACACACACTCACTTTTGGAGAAATGTCTACAAGAGGGAGTCTAATTTTAGTTTCATGCAGTAAGCCTGCAGCTGCCTACCTCTCACACTCACAAATACAAGACGGACACAGTTTGGTAATGATTGAGAGACATGACTGCAGCAGCTTCTTACTTCCTCCTGTGACTCACAGTCAGACATAGGCAGACTGTTTCTTACCTCAGTCTCTGTTTTCCTCCCCTTTCTCTGCCTGTTAATGATTGACATCATTGACCAAATAGTTTATAGACAGAAAGGCCAACCAGACATAATGATTTTGTCTGCAGTCTTTCTGCCAGTTTATAATTAGGTGACAGTTATCGTGACAAATCCTGCAGGGCAGGTCATGTTGTTCACATTTCAAATAAAGTTTGTTTGGTAATATGATTGCTAAATAAAATGTTTTGGATGTGATTCATGAAAATAGTGAACCCAATCAGTGTTTATGATTCATTCCAATAGTCACAACTTGAGTTTTTAATAGTTTAACTTGAGATAGATTTGAATGGTTAAAGTGATTAAGCGCAGCCCAGATTAGTAGTAAATGTCTGGTGTTTTCACAGGGCCTTCCTGGAGGGAATGATCAACCCTCTACAAGAACAGATGGAGGACTGGAAAAGAGGAGTCAACACTTTGGACAAGGACCATGCTAAAGGTAGGAGAGAAGAATGTAACAATAACACAACTGGCTGATCAAGAATCTTCTTCGACAATAGGATACACATTTTATATTTTAAAACGATGTAAAGTGACAAAGTTTTAACCAATATTCAATGATTTGCTTCAGTATTTTTGATTATTCTTCTGTTCCACATGATATAACTTTGTCTATGAAAAACTGTAAATTAGCAATACGTTTTCACAGATTTGGTTTTCTTTTGTTATCTTGTCCATCTGTACCAGAGTATAAAAGAGCCCGGCAGGAAATTAAAAAGAAATCCTCGGACACACTGAAACTTCAGAAGAAAGCAAAGAAAGGTAAAAAAAACAAAACACTGTCATTATTTATATAAACCAAACCTTGTGAATTATCAAAAATAACATTACTAGCTATAGTTCATCTTAAAGTGATTAACACAAATCTTGAACTAATTCTTGTTCTCATGGAGTCGTTACATTTTTACCAGAGTATGAAAACGAAAGAAAAGTTCATGATACAAAATAGAAACCTGCATAATATTCTTATTGTGCAGGAATCAAAACAACTTAAGTACAGGGATCACACACTTAAGGACTTAAAGCATTGCATGCCAAGCTTAGTGAAATATTTCAGTCTCAAGTGTCCTCAAAGAATTTGTTCAGATTGAATTATTGGAAAGCAAACTAGCAGAATGTTTTTGTTATCCTCTTTTAGTTTGCAATTTAATCGGGAACATCGAAACTTGAACTGTTTATGTCCCTCGCGCAAACGGATTAGTCATATACATGTTCCCAGAATCTGGTCATCTGTTTTTTTCACAGGTACAGCCTCATTTTTGGTCTGACTGTTGTGTAAACTAGTGTGCATCAGGATGGAAGAATTTCAAAACATTGACAGAATCCAGATGCTGTAATTAATTAATACTTGAAAATATGCACCTGAGCTTTGGAAGTAGTTTGTTTATGCTGTTTACATTTATAGACCTACAGGAAAAATAAGATTATTGATGCATGAAAGGCTTCAGTTGTAGAAACAACTTGGGGGGAAAAATGCCACCTCGTGTTTGAAAATGGGAAGATGTCCAGACCCTATGTATATAGTTCTCATCAGACTGCAGTGATGTGTATAGAAGAAGTTTGTCCTGAGTGATTAGACTAGAGAGATTTAGTGCCGCTAAACATTACCTTACTTGGTAAACACTCTGAGAGGGCAGGGGCAGTTCTCTTGGCTGAAGTTGTACCTACGTACACAGAAATACAATGAATATGCTTCCAGTGTGTTTAGAGATGATGATAGTTTTAGTTCTGAATCACTGGATGTCTCAGAATCCTAATGTCAACCGATTTCTAGAAAATAAATGCAAGAAACTATTAATACAAATACTCCTACTGTGCAGCACATTTGACTTTGGAATGTAACTTATACTGTACATGATCATTACTAATACTGCTACATAACATGTGTCTCATTTACATACAGCTGTCTGCATGACTTTAATTATCATTAAACAATGCTGAGCTTGAGACCATCAAATGTGTGAGCACTCGAAGTGTTGTCCATGTGACTCTCCTTTCTGTTTACCAAACATGTCCAGCAAATAGAAAAACATAATAATGGTTTATCTTCAAAAAGAAAACATACTGATGCTGTGTTTGGCTTAACAGTCATTGACTCCAACAGACACACACTTCTGCACCTTTATGTCACGCGTTACATGCTGGCAGGTTTTCAGTTGACTTTGATCTCTTTCCTCTCCCTGATACCATCCTTCTGCTTGTGCTGAACTGCAGCTGATAATCTGGGTAAGTCCAGTGGTGGAATAGACCCACTGTCCACGCTGTTACATTCGCTTCAATGCTTAAGCAAGCATCTTGGTTGCATTGTGAAGAAGCCACCACAGATATGAAGTTTCATGCAAAGAACAAATATGTGTGGATGCTGCCTGATATTGGCATGCTAGGGTTTCCATCACAGGTGCAGCTTTTGTTTACAGTTTTGCATTGCTACTCATTATTGGCACATTATTATATAAAGTGTGTGAAGCTGCAGCCACCCATCCATCTGTTGCCTCTTGTACTTGCTCTCCTTTGATTTCTTCTGACTCTTGTCATTTACTGTATGCCGTTTTCCTGAAAAGGAAATTCAACTAGACCATGAAGTGTTCCATGACTGAGCCTTTGCTCTGACCCACATTATGGTCAAATAGAAAAGCGATATACTTTATTAGATAAAGACTATAGACATATTAACACATGCTGTGGTCTGAAGCAGAAGAAGAGGAAAGGAAGTGAAGTGGACCTGATGTATAGTTGGGTAAAGATAATTGGTCCACTTGGCTCTTCTGCTTTACTGGTCCAATTCTTTAATCTTTCATTTCCTCAAACTGTCTTTTGGTCTCCACCTAAGTGTGCCAAGTTTCTGTTACTTTGCTTTTCTCAAAGCCACCTACTGATAAAAGCAGCTCATTGAGAAATAAAGTGATGCTTCAATTTTAAAGGTAAGGGTTCGACACCATCGTTCACCTACAGCAATCAGTGTACCAATAGATTATTATTAAATATCTGAATACACATCTTGCTAGCAACAAGAACCGTAAACCATTGCTGGTAGGGAGAAAATAAAATGATAACTTAAATGCAGTTTAGGAATATGCAACTAGTTTTAGATATACAACTTAAAAGTAGGGATGGGAACGATTAATCGAATATTCAAAATTATTCAGGTATTCGAATATGAGAATATCAGTTATGAATATTTTATTGTAATTTTTTTTTTGGGAGAGGTGCCTAAGTTGATTACATATGATCAAATGGAATAATTCAATGTATACAACAGTGCCATAGCTAAGTGTGTTCTAAAGATGTGTTTTGCTCCGCTCACCGGTCCCTCACAGCGGGCAGAGCTGCAGGTGCTGATCTCTCTCTCTCTCGCGTCCGGTTATACTTCACTCGCGTTTATGTCCAAATCCATCAGATCTAGCTAGTTCTAGCCAATGATATGGCTGCTGCCCCTCCCTACACGCAGATCACGCAGACATTTATGGAAAGAATTAACACTCCATCTGTCTGCTGGTGTTGTTTTCTAATGTTTTGATATGTGTCTTGTGAGGGTGTTTTTCTGACCTGAGACCTTAGCCTTTGCTAAGTAACAGCCTGTGAGTGCAACTTAATGTAATTATTGGTCATGTGAAAGCTGAATAAACTAATCTCATTTCTGTGTGTGTGCACATGTATCTTCATGAGTGCAGGACCCCCACCATATTCATCTTGGCTTAGTGACTCCCTTTATGGCAAGTTGAGATGGGTTGGTGTGTGTTGCGATATTGTGGACACAGGACATCCACAGTAGTACGCCATCAATTAGTCATCCTAATGGAGTGAAGCCAAAACATCACACTACACTAGGTTTCACAAGCACTTATTGTCTTTTAATTGAACACTGGAAAGACTTGTGAAATATATTTCATTTTGGATTTGTTTACAGCGACTCAGTTCCCATTGAACTTCCTTGAACCCAAGTGTTTGTCTGTGGAGGAAGAGGAAGTAGCAATCAGGGCTTTGCCATTCACATAGTTGCACAAGTTATGGAAGAGAGACTGGGAATGTGTTCAGTTCAGCACTAACAATCCCTCTGCTTACCACAAGTTGACATCTCATGCCATGATGCCTGCATTGTCTCAGAACACGTGTGTATTTATGTGTGATTGTGTGTGTGCAACCACCTCCATCCCTACAATTACGTTTTCTTATACATCACCACTGATGTCTGCCTCAAGCTGATTGAGTAATGGCTTTTGGTTGGATATGTTTTACTCTGTGGTATTTCAAAGTGTTTTATAACATTTACCCTTCTGGTCAGTTTCCACATGAGCTTATGCATATCTGGAATATATGACCTTGTGATTCACTTGTAAAGGGCTAAACTCAAATATGTCTCATTACAATGAAGTCGGTTTAATTGCTTTTGCAGAAACAAATCTAACTTTTTAATATATTATCATGAGTTAAAGGATAGGGTGCTTCCAAAATGGGTGGACCTGTGACAAAAGCACCTAAGGAAGATATGTTACACTGATTGTTATGATGTCTGGGCACTACTCGCTTCCCAAGATACTCATTATCACTACCAAAATTGCAACAAAAAATAAATGTGCCTTTCCATATGTCTCAGACAGAGTATCTCAACTTACAGTAGCGTCCAAACCCACTGTGGTTATGTCAATAATACAGTCTGCCAAGACTTGAACTAGTGGAGAAAACCAGAATACAGCATGCTCCCTTCGTTTACTGCATGCCAAGAGACACCACAGCATCACAGGCTTACGGCCTCCAAGAGCTACTTATCTACAAAGAGGCCAACCTGTTCGCCTACATATTTCAATGTTTTTTTGTTTATCATAAACAGTTCCTTTAAACCCAGTGCTGCGACAGGAATACTTCACAATGTCACACAACTTCTCTGAGCATTACTGCAGCATTACAGAAACTGAGAGCATCTTTCGATGTCATGGCTTGTATTGAGCATGTTCCATAAAGTTGACATTTATTACAGTTAACTGCACAATTTTTTATTTGATAGATGTCATTCAATAAAGATAGACCAGCTATCACTAGTGATTGAAACATTAGCTGAAATGTCAGCATAGCTTACAAATAATTGCCTTGGCAACAAGATGGAAAAATACACATTTTGCCTGGAGGGAAGTGAATAATAATGAGTCCTGTCCTGCAGTGGAAACCAGACTAATGAGTGAGGCCTGTCTCGCCCTCTCAGGCTCAGTCATACTGCCAGTTCTCCACAAAACCTAGTACAATGTAATTGTATACTTGTCTCCTCTAAATGTGGCCTTTAGATCTATATGAGCCTGAAGATATATACTGCAATTTGGACTTTCCAGTCCACAGCCCATCTACTGCATTATGGTCTTCATAGTGTAATAGAGTATGAAATGCCATAAACACACACACACACAACTCTCATTCCTCTCAGCGTCACGGTCACCTCAGCTTGGTAAATGGATCCCCTCCATATGGAAAATCAGTTTGCCTTATTTTGTCAACAAGTAATAAGAGCTATCTAATAGGGACTCACACTTCATCAATCAATAAACACATTGCACTCAAGTGGTAAATATTTGGTAATTTCTAAGTTATGTCAGCTGTTGTGCAATAGGTGCATAATGACCATTTGTGCCTTTGGCTTTTTCCATTAACCTATTATTTAGCTGTGCCCTTGAAGCCATTGTTGATTGTCATTTTAATGGTGGTGTAGTCATCTGAGGAAGAGATAAAGCAGCTGAAACTGAACTTCCCACATGCTGTATGATACCTAATGCATACACTGCACTGACATATCTGAGAGGAAAGATCACACGTCCTTACGTTTCACTTTTGAGGTGAGGATGATTCGCCTGTGTAACCTTATCTGCTTTTTTTCTCTATTGATTTGCATGGTATAATGCCACATGTCAAATGTCTCGGAAAGACGCCAGTTTGTTATCATTGGCTAGACCCAAGAGCAGAGAGACATACAGACCACAGAGTGGTTCACTGTTCAACCTTGATGGACCAAAGTCAACTACTGTGTGTGTGTATAAATGTGTGTGTGGAAGTGTAGTTCAAGTGGTTAGATAATGCCTTTGAGGCCCACTGTTTGTCATCCTGGGTAGTCACCAGCCTTCCTGCCTCCTTGGAGAACTTAAGAGGGCTTGATTTGGCTTCAGGGTATCCCGACTTAATATCGCACACTCACCCACAGAAAAGACACACAACACAAGGTCTCAACAACAGGATCACCTTGGGAAAGTAATTGCCCTAAGACATTCCTTGATTTGCATATGCAACACACGTAGACAGCACAAGGACCAGATGCTCTTCAAAATACCTTGCACACTTGCCATTCCTAAAACCAAACACTGAGTCACCTAAACTATATTTTGAGTGTCAGACAAAGAGCAATGGAGGGATATTTAATTTAGTTTTGGCTATCTCGACATAATGGATTGAAGTTCAAGAAGAGCAACAGATTAGCCTAAAGTATATATACTTCTTGCCGCCTCTGTACAATTGACACAAAACACTTCCATGGAAAGAGTGGCCCTTCATGCAGAGCTGATAGCCAAACAAGTAGTGAGGACATTCAAATGCTAGTACTGAAGATAGCAGTGTCCACAATGAAGATATTAACATGTAGAGCAGATGTTCAAACGACAGACAGTAGTTGTGCAGATTAAATGTTCTTTCATTGCTACATGATCATATTGTTTGTGACTTTTCATGCATGTTTTATTAGCACACCTCTATTCTTTTTCATGGTTGTGTGCAAAGAAAGATAAAGGGAGAATATTGCCCATCAGGTTTAGTGGTAAAAAGCATCTGAGCACCTTCATTTTAAAAGATTGTGAAGTAGTATTAGGACTATTGTAGGTAAGAATTTAGTTTTACATTTACAAGAAATAAAGTACATGACCTCTGAGATCATAAATAAATAAATTCACAAGTTTTTCCTGAGAATATTATCACCCTCCCCAGTTCTGTAAACTGTATGTTCTAACCTTCAATGGCCCAAACACACCGTCTTAGTTAATCACATGTTTCCTTGCGAGTTGGCATGTGTATTATACCTGGAATAATGTGTTATTTATTATTTTTGTTTGTCCATTTTGTTTTGAAGGTCGTGGAGATATCCAGCCGCAGTTGGACAGTGCCATGCAGGATGTCAGTGATAAATACATTCTGCTGGAGGAGACAGAGAAGCAGGCCCTGAGGAGGGCTCTCATCGAGGACAGACAGAGGTTCTGCTGGTTCGTAGGCCTGCTCCGTCCTGTAGTGGTGAGTACAGCTGTAAAAAAAAAAAAGAGAGATGAGCTTTCAGAAAGCATTTTCAAGCCCTCTACTTCTTCACAGTATATTCTTACTCCAGGCTCTCATAAAATACCTTTTTCCGCTATTTAAAGAGGAATCTGCTCTCTCTCTCTGCCATGAAATCTTTTAGGATGAGGAGATTTCTATGTTGGGAGAGGTCACCCATCTCCAGGCAATCTCTGATGACCTCAAAGCCCTGACTTCTGACCCCCACAAGCTTCCCCCTGCTAGTGAACAGGTGAGGAAAACCATCAAAGGGGAAACTGACATTCATCTCACTGACTGACTTGTTTTTGTTTTTTGAAGAGGTTCTGTGGATTAAATTGTTAAGTTCCGACTTTAAGTTCGACCTATAACTAGGACTTGTGTTTTCCTCCCTCTCAGGTGATCATGGATCTTAAGGGCTCAGACTACGGTTGGTCTTATCAAACGCCGCCCTCATCCCCCAGCACCACCATGTCCAGGAAGTCCAGCATGTGCAGGTACGTTCCGTCGGCCAATCACAACACTCGTAGCAGCAAATAAGTGAAAGAGAGGTCTTTCAAGTACACATTTACCTACTGTACCCATGAAAGCATGAAAGTAATCAGGGTGTCAAAATGATGTTGAACGGAAAATTAATTTACACCAGTTATTTTGGTCACCCGTTCCTAGAACTGAGGAGATGAAAGCATACTCTGTTTATATTTGGCCAATGACATGTAAACACATAGGATCTACTGTTAATCTGCCAATTGATCCTGTATACCCTTATGATGTATGTGAATCTTATTAGGAGACATAGTTGTAATGCAGTATGGGACAAGGACACAAAGAAAAACAATTGTGTTGTCCAATCTCTGTCTGCCACCCAGTGGTCAATCTGCAGGAGTTTGCAAATGATTTAGAGTATAATCCCTGCTTGATCTTCTCTTATGGTAGTGATAGTTCACTTCACTGAGAAATATAATTAAAGGTAACTAATATTAAGGAGAGAGCTTTGACCGATAAAAGCACTCATTTAGTTCTGTAGCTGTTCAGACCATGTCTTCTACCGTCTGTCCTCCTTGCTTTTTTGTATCTCCCAGTAATTGTTCCTGAACTGTTCTAGTGATAAGAAATAGATGTTATGCTCCGTTTGTGTATTGCTTTGCATTTTTTCAATGTTGGTTTGTGGGTTTTCTGTGAACAAATTGCAATTTGAGATTATCCGTTATGTCGTGGAAAGAACATTTAAAGGCCTCACACACTCTGAAAATATGTTGCAGAGGAGCCTTATTAAAGTTTCCGTCCCCAACAAGTCTTTTTTTAATCCTGTCAAATCATTGAGAGACCGCCCATTTTTATGATTTTGATTCTTTGCAAATTATAATTGTTACTCGTTTTTTTGTACTAGAAGCTTAAACTAGGTATAGTTTTGCCTTGTTCCAATGATTTATTACATTGTATGTATTTTTGCAATCTGCTTTAGATTGAATTCACACAGTAATTATGCTCTTTGCTTTTAATTAGTGTTCTGTGTGAATATCCTCAAAGGCTCCAGATCCTGTAATTATCCTCATTATGATGTCAAGCCTCTTATGTTGATTTGTGTTGTTGCCTTGACTGGATCGGCCTCAGTCACTGCCTGCTGCATCTTGGTGTGCCGTGTTAATTGTTTCCCACCCTGTCTCTCCCCAATCCCCGGCCTTCATCGCCCTCCTTTTTATTCCTTTTTTTTCCCTTTCTTATCCAACTTTCCTTCTTCAATCCATGTCTTTGGGTGCACTTGATTCTCTTTACCCGGCCTGTCACTGCCAAATGTCTGCTTCCTCTGGTCCTCCCCTCACCCATCACTCCTTCCCCTTTCACAGTAGTCTGAACAGCGTTAACAGTAGTGACTCCAGGGGATCCAGTGGCTCTCACTCTCATTCTCCTTCCTCCTCTTCTTCCTCCTCTTCCTCACACCACCTCTTCCACCACCATCACCCCCGTCATCGGTACCGTAGCTCCACGCTACCCCAGCAGGCCCCGGCCCGGCTCTCTAGCATCTCCTCCCACGACTCGGGCTTCATCTCTTCATCCCACGACCAATACACAACGTCCAAATCATCCTCGCCAATGGCAGCCGAAACAAAGGTAAGAAAAAACCCTCAGTTACATACACTTTACATCCCCTCAAAGTGTTGCATGTACACTAATCGAGACAAGACTATAAACCGCATATGCTCTATGATTTACAAGTCATTGTAGTCAGAGATAAAACCCCAAAGCCGCAATCACACAACCCTTCCCCTCACACATCTCCCCAGCCATCATGAGAGGCAGTTAGCTGGCAGCAGTAACTCTATGTGATCATGGTGAAGTCATTTCACCGCTATTATTATTATTGCATAAATGCTTAGGAAATGTGTCTGCCTCCATTGGAGCCCAGGGCAATACAGGTCACCCCCATCCTGCTATTAAAGAGTCCACCGCTGTGACAGCCTGCGGTTTGGCTGGATTATACTGTGTGTTGTATTTTCATTAAATGTATCACAGTAAAATGACATGTTACAGTGTGGACAGTCATTTCTTTTACAGGCGCAGAGTGTGTGTCTATCAGAAGGTCTCATTCTGTCAGTTTTATCCAACCATCTGACACGAGGTCTCCGATAATGATCAATGTGAGAGCACAGAGGATTATCGGCATGGGGTTTGTGGTTTGAGATCAACCATGAGAAGCGGCTGCACTAGCTGACATTTTGTTAGCACGCCAGCAACCAGAGTTCCCCTCTCCAGAACACATTGGTATAGACAGACTCCAAGTTTTTATGATGCAGGGAAGGTGGTTTGGCAAGCCCATATCTGACCCATATACAGAAGAGTCATAGGAATCAGACCTGGGGTTGTAGATGCAATAGTGCATGTGTGAAAGAGAACTGTCTCATGGCTAAACTAGGCTAACAAAAGTTCAATAAACACAAGATAGTGCTTAAACACATAATGTGGATCTCTTCCATTTCCATCCTTTTTTCAATACACACTTTTGTGAGGGGTGTTGTTCAACAAAAAAGGTTATTTCCCTACAGATTAAGTGTCTTTGTTAATAAAATAACCAGGGCCGATCTCTTTGATGATACAATGTGTCACATAGTTTAAGTTTGTGAGGATGCTTTTGACATCCAAAAGAAGATCGTTGCCTGTGCCTTCCTCTAACAAAGTTCCAACACATGCAGATAGTGCTGATACGACTCCCAGAGCACTCTCTCCATTGTCACCTGGCTGTTCTCCCCACTAACTGCTGAGAACTGTGGAAAAGTTGCCCGTGCTCTCTAACAAACCGCTCCTCTCTGTCTACCTGCTGACATGTCTGTCTTTGCAACTCTTCCCCCTCCGTCTGTCTCAATTCCTCTCTCCCCCTCCTCTTCCCCCTCTGGTCTCCCCCTGCTGCCTGCTTGCTGCTGCCCTCGCTGTCCCAGCCTTGTCCCAGCTCCAGGCTCTCTGAGGTCTCAGAGACTGGGCAGCTCCACAGTGACTGCAGCTCCCCCTCTCCTCTAGCTGCTGCTAGTGCACCTCAGCACGATACTGACAAGGTGAACCACACTCATCCACTTCCCCCCTCTCTCTTATAAATGCACCACAACTTCTTCGTACTAAACTCCTAACTTGGGTGTTCACTGCATCGACGTTAGCACAGAAGTCTTTTTCTCCATTATTTTATTCAGTTCTGCATTTGTTACTATTTCCTTTTACTATATATATATTTTATTATTTTATTTTTCTATATATTTTACATATTCCATATGGATTTCTTATTGTTTCTGTTTTCAATCAATCAAAGTTTATTTATATAGCCCAAAATCATACATTTTACATTTTTCTCAGGGGACGAATATGACCCTCAGATCGAACAAGGAAAACTTCCACAGAAACCCCAAAGTTAATGGGGAAGAAATGGAAGAAACCTTGGGGATTTCCCTTAACATAATCGACCCTTTGTGATATTATTTATTTTGTGTTTTGTATTCCATTGTTTACCATTATAATATTTTTTTCCACTTTTTGTGATTGTTCCTTATTTTTGTTTTTGTTATCATCCCTCCTCCCTCCTGCACACACATCCAGTTGTCCAACGGCTTTGACAGCTACAGTCCAGCTCATTCCCCCTACATTCATAGCAACGAGGCGAGTTTGGGCTCAGGGTCAGGCACTGCCTTCTTCCCTCCTTCATCCCCATCCCACACCACCTCCTCCTGCCCCACTCGCTCATGGTCTCGCCCTGCCTCTGCCTTGCTGCCAGACCACCCTCAAAACTGCACGCTGGGCTCCACCATGGTGCCTTCATCACGAGTCCCGAGCTGGAAGGTTGGTTCATCACATCCCATCCTCCTTTGTTAAACAAGTTCATTCTTTATCAGTTTGATCATTTTTGGTTAAATCTGCAGCTTGGAAAGAAGGGGGAAATAGTTTTAGGTGTTCATCAGAAGCACTTCAGAGTAATGTGAAGTATTAACGATGAACTCTTACATGCCTTTCTTTACAGGACTGGGCTAAACCGGGCCCTTATGACCAGCCTATGGTCAACACACTGAGGAGGAAGAAGGACAAGGGGACCCCTACTATAGTGGACAGTAATGGTAGTTTGAGTAATAATAGCAGCTTGGCATTGACATCTACCTCAGCACCACCTCTGGCTGCACTACAGACATCTGTATCCATGGAGGAGAAGAACAGAACTGTAGCTGCACAGCTCAAGGTCAGTCAGTCTCAAACTCATACAAACACAGCCTGCCTCATTTAGACCATCTCACTTACAGCCAGCCGTTAGTTTGTGTTATTTATAGCACATATTTATTGTGTTATGTGTCTTTTTATATTTAGCTTTTTCACTTTTGTCTGTATTATGACTTTGAGAAGTTTGCTGTTAGCTTAGGTCTACTGTTGGATCTCTGTTCATTGTTGATTCATCGGATTTATATTTTGCGAAGGTCTATATGTTTTCGGACATTCTGTCTTGTTTTTGTGCCTAAAAACAATAATACTATGCTGCAGCACACAACAATAACATAGGTCAGTCCACATTTAATGCCATCTGTAATGCTAAGTTCAGATGACGTCACATTCAACTTCTAGCAGGCCGATGTTTTTGCAGTCATGGGATTCCCACCATTAATGTTCCCATTTAATGACTTTCATGAGCTGCCCCTAATGATTTTAATGACTTAATGTGCCTGGCTGTAGAGAGACTTTGAAACCATACTGAATGTTCTTTTTCATTGGGTGATTGCTCCAGGCTGGTGAACTTGAGGCCCATGAGGAGCTGGCTCTGGCTTTAGCCCGAGGTCTGGAGCTGGACACCCAGAGGTCCAGCAGAGACTCCATCCAGTGCTCCAGCGGCTACAGCACTCAGACCAACACCCCCTGCTGCTCTGAAGACACCATACCTTCACAAGGTAACACATTACATCTAGGATCTGATGTTCACCATCTTTTTAAGAACACTACTAAAACTTCTCTTTTTTTAAGGGTTCCCTCAGATCTTAAAAAGGGCATTTCATTTTCAATCTTGAATAATATGGCCTTAATTGTTATTAGATTATCTCAAATCAATCTTCTTTAAAAAAAGACTTGGGAAGCAGGACTTTATGCATTGTGCATGATGTTGCATTATACAATTCTAAATATATTTAGTAGTATCGTTTTTAAAAAAAATTATTTTAATATTGTTATCATTCACAAAAAGTCTTAAGTTTGAAGCTAAAGTAACCCCTTTTTTGTCCTCTACTATCATAAAACACTATGTTGTGGTATCAGCTCATTGTTAACCTCTCTATGTGTTCTCTTTAGTTTCAGACTATGACTATTTCTCGATGGCTGGAGACCAGGAGCCTGAGCAGCACTCTGACTTTGACAAGTCCTCCACCATCCCCAGGAACAGTGACATCAGTCAGTCCTACCGCCTCATGTTCCAGAGCAAACGGCCCGCCTCCACCGCCGGCCTGCCCAGCACACACACTGCGTACCATGGACAGGGGTCTTACCCACAGGGGCCCTACCCCCCCACACCTATCCACACTGGGGCTTATCCTGCTACACCTACAGGTATACACTGGTGTTGCACATTTTTACGATATCATATTGGTTGATGCTAATATTTCTTATTTAGAACACTCTTTATACATGTTTTATAATAGTAATACTTCATCAGATTAATATGTTTTTCTTGTCTTGATATCCTTTATTGTGTTTTCTTTATAAATCATTAAGGCAAATAAAAAATGGAATTTGTTATTAAATGAAATGACCATTTGTGTTTGCAGGTCCGAGTTCAAGTCAAGGATTTTATTCTGGATCCAGCTCCCATAATGCCTCTGGCTCCTACTCTACGGACCGCGGTCCAGTTATTGTCACCCCTGGTACTGCCACAATCCGCCGCACCCCCTCTTCAAAACCCTCCTCCCGCCGCTCAGGCTCAGTTACGGGCACAGGCCCCATCCCCATTCGTACGCCCGTCATCCCGGTACAAATCCCTACGGTGCCCGACCTGCCCAGGGCAGTCAATGGGAGCAGGGCCTCAGAGGAGAGGGGAAGGGGAAAAGGAGACGTAAACCCAGATTCTCCAACATTTGCGGGAGTGGAGGGCGCTGGCACGCGGCCTGTGATGTCCTGGAGCGGTCAGGCTACCACCAACCCCCCCACTGCACCACTTGCCCAGCTGCAGCAGCAGGGAGGAGGAGGAGAGGAGGAAGAGGAACAGTCAGAGGGCAACATGCTGATTGCCATCCGCAAAGGGGTGAAGCTCAAGAGAACCCTCACTAGCGACCGCTCTGCACCACGCATCGCATGATGACACAAGAAACACGAGCACAGTTAGGCTTTAGGAAAAACGTTGCTTATAAAAATGCAATGTACAGAATCAAAAGGCTTCTTATGCTACTATGAGAAATGTATCACACCTGTTCTACATGTAGCCTTTCTCATTCTGTAAACCTTCCTCACTGCAGAAGCCACCTATAACGATTAAACATAGAAAAAACATATGCTATTGTTCAGGTTCCCATTTTCTGATTTGGCTTAAGATGCCTCAGAAATTGTGCAAAGCAAAGTTTGTTAAAATACTGGTTTGGACCTGAAATGCATCCCATGCCTACTTGGTGATGAATCCTTGTTAAAGTTCAATAACACCACACAAGCCTTTACGGGTACAAGGTAAGATCTACTTTCTCACATAGGGCCTGGAATTAAGGTTGTCGCCCTAAGCACTAAAATATTCTTTTGCAAAACCCACAGCTTTTTGCTGACAACACAAGTACAGAGTAGCATTACACCACAGTACGTTCATTTCTTTAAGAGGACCGTAAAGATATATTTTGTATCCAGTATGCTTCCTGAAGCTGAGGGCTTGACAAGGACAATGTGTCTGCCTCTCCTCGGTGTAAAAAGACACTGACTATGTGTAATCTCATTGTTTAAGAGTGCGTTGTACCATTGCGGGACAAATAGGCATTCTAACTGCCTAGTGACTTGGCAGAAGGAGCACAATAATCAAGCAAGTACTTCACAGCATCAAGAGAGAAATAACAGACGCACAAGAAAGCAGTGGTGGCTTTGAAATGCACCATTTGGCACCTCCTGAATTGTATTGACCGCTTACATGGAGGGACGCCCTGATGGCTGTGTTAAAGCTGTCCACTCACAAAGGATTCAATATGTGAGATGTCCACAGAGCCAACATAGGCAGGGGAAGAACCAATACAGACAACCTCCAAAAGGAAAGGACCTGCGTTGTGTTGCAGACTGAAAATCATCTAAGCCAAAGGTTTAGGAGACTACAGTGTGACTAAAGCGTCACATGGTTGATGCCGTGACATTAACAGACTCTATAAGTGACGTCCTGTTTTAGTTGTTTTAGTATTTACATGATTTGTAAATATTTGTGGACTTTAGTCAGTGCTTCTCACTCTGTATTTCTTTCTGCTCCTCCACACTGCCACAATCAAAACATCTTAAAACCGGATGCTCATTGAACATATGATCATCAAACCCTATTACCTTAAGGATATGATTTCATTTTATTTTTCACTTTCTTTTTTTTACAACTATGAAATCATCCTTGAATCTGCAGTATCTACATGCTGAGCTTTGTAGAAGTCCTCAGTGATTTGTGTTTATACGTATATTAGCAGTTATATTAGCCCCTTCTTTTTTGTAGCATTTATTAGCCATAATGCAATTGTACTAAAAAGTATAAATATGCCATGTCAAACTCAAAGTTAAATAAGGAGGACAAATATTTGCTGATGTTCTGAAAGTTATGAGTAGAAAGCTGTTTTCATGGTAATGCCATACTGGTTTTTATTTGTCTGGTTGCTGTTATAGCTAACTCTTTGTTGTCTTCTTTGGAAAGCATGTAGCGTGCATGCTTTATTCCTTTTGTTAATAAGGTTTTCATTCAATTCCAATTTGGGTGTTTTCAGTTTTTGCAGTAGCATCACAGGTCCAGTACGTACAGATTGTATTACCCTCAAAACTAGGAAATCGCATCCCAATCCATTGTATTGGTTTAGAAATGTCAATTTAGGTGGTACAATTTAAAATATTTAGTTTTTATGCTGACAATAAGATGCATTGGAGATATGACTGCAGACTATAGGCTGACTAGTATCACTCAGGATCACTGAGCCTGTATTTTCATTTTCATTTCAGTTCAATCTCGGTGAGACCATGGCTTCTACAAGATGTAGAGATGTTATTTAGCTCTACAGGTTATTCCAAGAACTCACACATTTTTTATTTATTTTTCTTCTCAGTCTTTAAATCTCTTGTTTTCTCAACCTATTTTTATACATATATAAAATATCAGAGTAGTTGTTTACTCTATCTGTGCATGTACTATCTGATGTGTTGTTTCATCAGCTAAATGTTCTCAATACCGTCCTGCAGCGATTCATTTAAGTACCATATTTCAGTCGCACGTCATTTTAATGATAACATATGGTTTGAAAGTGAACAGTTTTGGTTTGATAATGGAGAGGCCTGCATCAGTGTTATGGTTTCACATGTTGGGAACGGAAATGTTTGCATGATGCAGAGCTGAGTCCAGTTAAGCATCAGTTTGTTCAAGATGGGCATCTCCTTCACAACAAGTGTGCTTCAATCATCATTTTATGTACACATTTAAAAAATAAATGCATTATTTTAGAGCGAAGAAGCTGAACTCTGGCTTAATCTGACCTGACATCTTGCCATGAACTTCAGTTTTTTTTCTATATTTTAAGAAGTTTTCTAATGTAACATAATTGTACAAAAGGAGACATGAGAGCAAAAGAAGGGATGACAAAAGAAAGATATCTTAATTCAACCCAAAGCAGGGGGACTTGGTTAACATAACACTCAGTTCTTTATATTGTTGATGATGTTTATATTTGTGTTGTTTTGTTGGCCGTCCACCTGTCTAAAACTTATGTTATCGACTTGTAATTTCCATATTTAAATTACTAGCATATATATATATATATTATATCAGAGTTGCCACATGCCAGTATATCCTATGAATAAGATGTTTAGAGTTTGTGAGGGTTTGAATAAACAGTTCAAACTCGTTAATAGTTTTTAGCTTATTGTCCCCCCCCCCCCAGGAGAGTTGACCTCTCGGTATGTCCCTGTACAGTTTAACAGGCTAAGATGCAGTTTGTCTCCGGAAGGAAAAGGTTGTTATTTGTTGTGTAATGACAGCTTTAGCAATACAATAAAACATATACATTTTGCTTTGGCTCACTGACTTCTTGAATGTGCAAGTCTACGTTCTGTGTGTTTCAAGAGAATCAGACATCAGATCAGACAACTAGCCTACGACTTTGTTTTTTTACAGGCCTAAAACATCGTCGACAATTTTGTTGCTGAACTTTTTGACTTAAACTTCAAGCTTTGCAATTGTTTTTGAAAGCAGGAAATTAATTTAAATTACTTTTTTGCAGATTGAACCCTCATGTGGCAAAAGAACAATGAAATGTGTGCTTATTTAATTGATTGTAAATTCAAACTGTAAACTGGGACAACGATGAACACGAAAAAAAATCTTAGCCTTTTCTCCACCAGGGGGCGTTCTTGTATGCCTCCCTTTAGCAGCCAAACCTTGTTTACGTTCTACTTGGACAATGCATCACTCCCCATCCTCAGAGGCTTGAAAACACTGGTCCAATCAATTGAAGTACAGTCAAAACCACAAATCACCCCCCCCCCCCCCTCACACCGAAGGGCATGAATAAACGCCCTAACTATTGGATTGGGAGTTATATGGTATTTTTGTTCTTCAAGTACAGTACATACCTGCTTGATTCATAACTTCCACATGGTGTCATCTTTTCCTGGGGTGTGGTGGATTGTTGGTGGAATAGCTCAAATAACCCGCGTGCATAATAGCAGAGAAGAGCACACACCCAACAGACAAGCAGTCATTTACAACACCTGTAAGATATTAACAGCCTGTCTTTTATATCCCTAACATTTAATTTCACTTTTTAAGTATGCAGGATCAAATTCGTTTTATATTTAATTATAGCAGACGTGGCTTGTTGTCGTACTAAACATGAAAGCATTTTACGGCTTTATACTGAACGTACGTCTGGCGGTGCCGTCAGAGTTACGCACGGAGGAAAGCAGTGCAGCTATTGGAAAATATTTTCGGGCTGATGACGTTTCCTCCCATCGCCTCCTACCATCCTGTCAGCCAGAGGTTACAGCAGCCGGGAAAACGCTCGCAAATATGTGATATTTCCTCAAACACTGCTGCCAGTTTAGTGTTTCAGGTATATTTTTTGTTCGGGTATCTACAAAACTTCACCGCTGGTAAAAAGGAAACGTATTCTCCGCAGCAGCTTCAAGGTTTCTTGTGGAGGTTGTTGGACGGGACAGCGGGACCATCGACTGAGGTGCGTCCGAACAGACAAGTTGAACCTTTTCCTATTTTATATTTCTCAGAGGGCCCGTAAAATAGCTTTGACTTGGTATTTTGTTAAATATTATGTAATTGTTGTTGCCAGCACCGTGTTTCTCTCTACAAATCAAGCAATACATTACGGGGATACAGGGTGTTATCACGCGATGGAAGCAACGGTTATTTCAAATTTCAGCGACATTATTTCATAATTGTCATGTCATGTTGTATTATGGGCAGACTCATGTTCTATTGTCCTCCACTCTTCTCCATTAGGTCTCCGGAGCATTATTCTACCCCCATGCCCGCCGCGATGCTGCCCTGTCTGCGCTCCGTCCTGCGGCCCACCCTCTCTCTGAGAGCCGGGTCTGCGTTGGCCACAGCCGGACTCAGCAGCCACCAAACCCCCGCTATAGCGTCCTGTGCACGGAGCACCTCAGAGCCTGCTCTCTCCATGCTGGGGCAGCGGAGGCACCTGGGCACACACCCGTTGAGGGAGAACGTGGACCCTCTCGACTCTCCCCGGGGAGCCAAGGAGTTTATTTACACTCTCCATCCCACCGAGAGGAGCTGTCTGCTCCGAGAGCTGCACAAGTTCGAGTCCATAGCCATCGCTCAAGGTAAGGGAGGTGCTACAGTAGCCTACAGCATGCATATTAACAGTAGATGGTGTACAGCAGGGAGTGGGACGGTAATGGAAATGCAGTTCAGTTATACAAATTATCTTTAATATTATATACAACATAGCAGATCATGTTATATTTATCAGAAAATGCTTAATGAATACATTTATAATTGATGATAATGTGTGTTGTGTAACTCAGTTACTCATCCCCAACTGCAGGTCACAGTAAGATATTCTATTCACTACTGGATATAACATGCAATGACAAGCAGTTAACTCTGGGGTTTGATTTTTGGATTGGAATCACAATTGACACAAGCTACAGCATCAGGAACAGGCTGTCATAACATGAAGTAACTTGTAGCGTGGTTTAGAGTATAATGCTGCTAACATCACGTCTTTGATTTGTAATGTTCTTAGGGTTAATAGAAGTGTAAAACAGTTGTATGTTGCAAGTCGGGTACAAGGATAGCATTTAATAGATTTTCTTTGTTGCATAAATCATGTCATACTTTCATGTAGCCAGTCCCTGTGACAGTATTCAGACGACCCTGACCTCCCCTGAGAGTAGAGAGGATCAATATAGTGTCACCATTACTCTCATTTACATATCTATTCCACAAGCATCACCAAGCATGACAGTGGGGATCACTCATACGCTTAAATACAGTAGCAGGTTATTTCCAAAAGTAAGGCATTAGCTAAGTTTCATGACATAGAAGGACATTGTGAGATTAAAGGAAGAGCAAGGAGGATGTCCATCTACGCAAAAAGAAAGGAGTATGTGCGGCGATCAATTCATGGATAGCAGACAATAAAAGAAGGTAAATTACATGAGTGGTGATGAAGAGAACCGCATAACACAAGGTTCTCTCAGACAGTATGCTGATCTGACCACAAATCTCTTTTAAATCTTTAGCCTTCATCATTTTTGTCTAATGGCTTTGTTTTGTACATAAGTAAATGTTGGGAAAAAAATCAATGTTCCTTCCACTGTTTCAGCATTGCCCTAGAATTGTGGTTTATGTATGAAGCATTGTGGCTTTTTTCCTGCAGGGTGATGTGGTTCTGAGAAAAGTTTTAGTCCAATGTCTCATGATGGACAAATTATTCCCTGTCTTGGGATACCTGCAGGTCACTTCAAATATCTCTGGCCTTAGAGAAGTTGAAGTCAGACTAATCGATTAAGTCTGTAAATTCCTCCACATCAACAATTTGAAGCTAATGCTCTTATTTGATGTGCACTCTCTCCGACACCAGGCTCCTTTAAGCCATAGCATCAGACTGCTGAATGTTGAGCGTACATGCATCAGTTGCTATGAATAGTGTTGTTTGTGCTGTTTCTCCTCAGGGTACAGTATGTGAGGCTCTAAATATCAATTAGCAACAACATGTGCAAATTACAGCCCAGACTGACATTATGAACATAAGCAACCCTTTGACATTGGCTTAAATGTTTAGTTAAGTACTAGTTAAGATTTTAGTTGTTCTGCATTTGTACTTTTTACATTGCCATAGTAGCTTTTATGGAGGAAAAAGACAAACAAATGTTGCATCACAATTAACTCTCAATGCAAAAGGGCTTCAAAACAAGTTTAACTAGGGAAGGTAAGCATGTCAGTGGTTGTATTGAGTATTTACAGGATCGACTGGGTCAAAGTAGTCCATCACTTCTCTCTTGAACCCAAGAATGCTTTAATTTTATTTTTTTAAGCGGTTATTACAGAGATGGTAGAGCAGATGATGGCAATGATTGTTATCTTGGCATTGTCAGTAATATTGCGAACAGGAAAAAGACTACAAGACCATGAGATGTTGTAATGGCTCTGTAGTTGATCTGACTGGAATTGTGTTTTTAAAACTCAAAACCGCTACAGTATCGGTCAGACAGAAACTTGGGAAAAGTCATTTGACTGAAACCTTAAAAGTGAACTAACTGACTGCTAGGGTTAACTTTGATTTAAACATTTGTAGAATACTAAGAGCTTTATTGAGTAGGTGTAACTGTATTAAGGGTTAAACTCATAACTTTATAACTTAGGGTTTAATGTAATTGACTTAAAAGACAATAAGAAATCAGGAGGAAGCCAGTCTAGATTTCCTTTTGAGGGCCACCAGCTGCAGAGTTAACTAATTAAAAGGACGTTGCCCCACAGCTGTGAGAACTCAGTAATCAGGTGTCCATTTTAGGTAGCACTTTCCTGGAGCGTCAGCTTCAGCGTCAGACTGGCAAAGACATTAGAGTCCTACAGGAGTCACGAGGGAGGCAAAGAGGAGGCAAATCCTACTTTGATTGAGCTAAGTATCGCTGGTGTTTTTATTTTGTTTTATTTTATTTGGTTGTTTAGCCCCTCATGCTATAATCATGTGTATTTTCTCCATTCCTGTTCATGTGTCTTCTCGCAATTATCACTGGCCCCGTGTATCTCGTAATCGATATAACTGGCCTGCTCTCGTCTATCCCACATGCTTCACTGAGATCCAACATCTAGTTTCAGGTGGCCTGTGGAATTGCCAGTCAGCTGTTCCTAAGGCTGACTTCATCTCTGGCTACGCCTCCCTGCAGTCTCTGGATTTCCTTGCTCTCACTGAGACCTGGATTACTCCATCCAACACATCCACCCCAGCAGCTCTCTCCACTGCATATTCCTTCTCCCATACACCCAGACCCACTGGCATAGGAGGTGGCACTGGTCTCCTGCTCTCTCCCAAATGGAGCTTTTCCCTCTTCAAGCTACCTAACTTCACTCCTTCCACCATTGAATTCCATGCCGTCACAGTAACCCATCCTATACAGTTAACCATTGTTGTTCTCTACCGTCCACCAGGCGCCTTTGGGGACTTCTTGGAGGAATTAGATAATCTGCTCTCACACATCCCTGAAACTGGCCCTCCCGCTGTACTTCTCGGAGACTTCAACCTCCAGACGGGGAAGATAGACGAACTAACATCTCTGTTAACCGCCTTTGCTTTCTCACTGTCTCCGTCCCCACCGACTCATAAAGCTGGCAATGTCCTTGATCTCATATTCTCAAGGAACTGCGCTACTTCTAACCTCTCTGTAAACCCGCTCCACACATCCGATCACTTCTTCATTTCATTCTCTCTATCCCTTTCCAAACATAACAAACTAATCTCTTCCCATCCTGCACTTGTCCGCCGTAACCTTCGCTCCCTCTCCCCCTCTACCTTTGCCTCGTCAGTGCTCTCAGCCCTCCCTTCCTCTGACTCGTTCCAACTCCTGCCTCCAAACTCTGCTGCAGAAACTCTCCTCTCTACTCTCTCATCCACTCTGGACTCTCTCTGTCCTCTCACATCTCGGCAGGCTCGTCAGTCCCCTCCTGCTCCCTGGCTAAATGATGCACTGCGTGCTAATAGAACCGTCCTTAGGGCAGCAGAGCGGAAACGGTGGAAATCCAAACACCGTGACGACCTCCTAACCTATCAGGCTCTCCTCTCCTCTTTCTCTGCTTCGATCTCTCAGGCAAAAAGCACTTTCTTTCAAGATAAGATCCAATCTTCCTATTCCAATCCGAAAAAACTATTCTCCATCTTCTCCATCTTCTCCACCCTCTTGGACCCTCCAAAAGCTCCTCCCCCCAACTCACTTCTGTCAAGCGACTTTGTTACTCACTTTGAAAAAAAGGTTGATGATATTCGCTCTTCTTTTTCTGACTCACCTTTACTCACCGCTGGGTCACCAGACCCTCCTTCCACCAACACACTAACCTCCTTTTCCCCTCTCTCTCCAAGTGAGGTTCTTACCCTCATTACCTCTGCCCGCCCTACCACCTGTCCTCTGGACCCTATCCCTTCAAACCTCCTTCAGACTATCGCTCCTGATATTCTACCGTTTCTCACCCACTTCATCAACACTTCTCTAACTTCTGGTCACTTTCCAAACAGTCTCAAGGAGGCAAGAGTAAACCCTCTCCTAAAGAAACCCACTCTCAACCCGTCTGATGTTATAAACTACAGGCCTGTCTCTCTCCTCCCGTTCCTGTCTAAATCACTTGAACGCGCTGTCTTTAAACAACTCTCCTGTTATCTCAATCAGAACAACCTTCTGGATCCGCACCAGTCTGGTTTCAAGGCAGGTCACTCCACAGAAACTGCTCTCATTGCTGTCACGGAAGAACTGCACACTGCCAAAACTGCATCCCTCTCCTCTGTCATCATCCTGTTGGACCTGTCTGCTGCATTCGACACGGTGAATCATCAGATCCTCCTTCGCACTCTCCAAAAACTTGGAGTTTCAGGCTCAGCACTTTCCCTCCTCACCTCATACCTGAAAGACCGTACCTACAGGGTGACTTGGAGAGGGTCTGAGTCCGACCCTTGTCAATTAACTACAGGGGTCCCTCAGGGCTCTGTTCTTGGTCCCCTCCTCTTCTCCCTGTACACAAACTCGCTCGGATCAGTCATTAGCCCGCATGGTTTTTCTTACCACTGCTACGCTGACGACACCCAATTAATTCTGTCCTTTCCCCGCTCAGAGACCCAGGTCGTCGCACGCATCTCTGCTTGTCTAGCTGACATCTCTCAGTGGATGTCTGCTCATCACCTCAAGCTCAACCTTGACAAGACTGAGCTGCTCTTCCTTCCGGGAAAAGATTGTCCCACTCTTGACCTAACAATCAACATCGGCACCTCAGTTGTTTCCCCGACTCAGACTGCAAGGAATCTGGGTGTGACCCTAGATAACAACCTGTCCTTCACTGCAAACATCGCTGCTACAACCCGTTGCTGCAGATACACGCTTTACAACATCAGGAAGATACGTCCCCAGCTGACACAGAAAGCGACTCAGGTTCTGGTCCAGGCTCTCGTCATCTCACGCCTAGACTACTGCAACTCCCTCCTGGCTGGTCTACCTGCATGTGCCATCCGACCTCTGCAGCTCATCCAGAATGCAGCGGCTCGTCTGGTCTTCAACCTTCCTAAATTTTCCCACACCACTCCGCTCCTCCGCTCCTCCGCTCCCTTCACTGGCTT